CCCTGCTCAAAGCAGGACCAACCCCAACTAAATCATCCTGGCCAGAGCTTTGTCAAGCTAGGCCTTAAAAACCTCTAAGGATGGAGATTCCACCACCTCCCTAGGTAACTCATTCCAGTGCTTCACCACCCTTCTAGTGAAATAGTTTTCCTAATATCCAACCTAGACCTCCCCGACTGCAACCATGGAGAACAGCCTAGCTCCATCCTCTTTGGAACCCCCCATCAGGTAGTTGAAGGCTGCTATCAAATCCCGCCTCACTCTTCTCTTCCGCAGGCTAAATAATCCCAGTTCCTTCAGCCTCTCCTCATAAATCATGTGCCCTAGCCCCCTAATCATTTTCGTTGCCCTCCGCTGGACTCGCTCCAATTTGTCCACATCCTTTCTGTAGTAGGGGGCCCAAAACTGGATGCAGTACTCCAGATGTGGCCTCACCAGTGCAAAATAGAGGGGAATAATCATTTCCCTCTATCTGCTGGCAATACTCCTACTTTTGTAGCTGGCATTGCAAGGTATTTACATGCCAGATATGCTAAACATTCGTTTGCCCCTTTGTTCTTCGGCCACCATTCCAGAGGACATGCTTCCATGCTGATGATCATTGTTAAAAAAATAATGCATTAATTAAATTTGTGACTCTACTCCGTGGGGGAGAATTGTATGTCCCCTGCTCTGTTTTACCCGCATTCTGCCATATATTTCAAGTTACAAGATGACCCAGCACATGTGGTTCATTTTAAGAACATTTTTTCACTGCAGATTTGACAAAACACAAAGAAGGTACCAATGTGAGATTTCTAAAGATAGCTACTGCACTCGATCCAAGATTAAGAATCTGAAGTGCTTTCCAAAATCTGATTGGGACGGGGTCTGGAGCATGCTTTCAGAAGTCTTAAAAGAGCAACACTCTGATGCAGAAACTACAGAACCTGAACCACCAAAAAAGAAAATCAACCTTCTGCTGGTGGCATCTGACTCAGATAATAAAAATGAACATGCGTCGGTCCACACTGCTTTGGATTGTTATCGAGTAGAACCCGTCATCAGCATGGACGCATGTCTCCTGGAATGGTGTTTGAAGCATGAAGGGGCATATGAATCTTTAGCACATCTGGCATGTAAATATCTTGCAACACTGGCTACGACAGTGCCATGAGAACGCCTGTTCTCACTTTCAGGTGCATTGTAAACAAGAAGCAGGCAGCATTATCTCCTGCAAATGTAAACAAACTTGTTTGTCGGAGCGACTGGCTGAACAAGAAGTAGGACTGAGTGGACTTGCAGGCTCTAAAATCTTACATCATTTTATTTTTGAATGCAGTTTATTTTGTACATAATTCTACATTTGTAAGTTCAACTTTCATGATAAAGAGATTGCAGTACAGTACTTGTATTAGGTGAATTGCAAAATACTATTTCTTTTGTTTTTATACAGTGCAAATACTTGTAATAAAAATAAATATAAAGTGAGCTCTGCACACTTTGTATTCTGTGTTGTAATTGAAATCAATATATTTGAAAATGTAGAAAACATCCAAAAATATTTAAGTAAATAGTATTCTATTATTGTTTAACGGTGCGATTAATCACGTGATTAATCACGCTTGACAGCCATAATCTTTACTAAAGTTTTCTGGCTTGTGTAAATGGATTCTTCAGTAGAACCTCAGAGTTACGAACACCTCAGGAATGGAGGTTGTTTGTAATGCTGAACAAAACGTTATCTTTGTTCTTTCAAAAGTTTACAACTGAACATTGACTTAATACAGCTTTGAAACTTTACTATGCAGAAGAAACATGCTGCTTTTAAGTCTCTTAATTTAAATGAAACAAGCACGGAAACAGTTTCCTGACCTTGTCAAATCCTTTAAACTTTCCCTTTTTTTTTTTTCAGTTTATGTTTAACACAGTACTGTACTGTATTTGCTTCCCGCCCCCACCCCCCCCTCTTCTTTTGTGTGTGTCTCTGCTGCTGCCTGATTGTGCACTTCCAGTTCCAAATGTGGTATGGTTGACCGGTCAGTTTGTAACTCGGTGTCCGGTACTCTGAGGTTCTACCGTACTTCCTCTGCCTAGCGAATTATAAATGAATCAAATAAGGCTTCCAGTCTTTCAAAATGGAACTTGTTCAAATATTAGAATTATGTTTTTAATATTAATGGTAGATACCTGACTAGCATCCACATTTTTATGGTTGCCACTTAAAATATAGGCTGGGATTTTGGTGAGGAAGAGATGGTCTAGTAGTTAGGCTCAGGAATTGGGAGATAAGTGCCTTCTCTACCACAGACTTCTTGTCTGACCTTGGGCAAGTCATTTAGCTCTCAGTGCCTCAGTTCCCCATCTGTAAAATGGCACTGCCCTGCCTCACAGAAGTGTTGTGAGAATAAATACATTAAATATTACAAGGTGTTCAGATACTGTACTAATGAGGGTCATGCACATATCTTTGATAGGTTTTTCACAAAAGCCCACATTCTATGGGCTTTCAATAGTATTTGGGTGTCTAATGACATTAAACATAATTTTTCTTGCTTTTTGAAAGTAGCTCCGGGTCAGAGGTCTGCACACTGTCCCCTGCATTACTTACTTAAGTCATTTCTCTAATGGTGTGTAGAGCTATGCATGAGCTTCTGCACTGGAGGAAATTTCCCCATTGTGTTCCTTTGCACGTCATACTCAGAATACTCTTCCAGTTCCCAGGTATGCCAAACTCAGGCTCAGGTCTGAACTTCAGTAGCTGTCTAAAAAAGTGAGTGAATGCTTGTGCATACACAGAGATCTTCTCTGCACAAGCCGTCATAACAACCTACTTCAGTGCCAGATTGGTTGACTTTTGAACTTTATTGCTCTTAGAACTCTGCAAGACTCCACTCTCATGCCAGCAAAACGGAAGGGAGGCAATATAACATAAACGCAGACATGCTTGTTTATATTGCACACACCATCAAACTGATCTTCACCTTCCATGGACCTGAAGTTTACAAGGCAGAAAGAAAAAGGGCTAGAACAGGTCATAGGGCCCAGAGAGAACAAAGAGACTCATTAAACTTGATACTTGCATGTTCAAATTTAAACCAACCTACTGCTTGTTTTCAGTGCTTTGACTTTTAATGACACATTACTGTAACTAGCATGCATCTAACCTTGCTTTTTGCCATTTTAAATGCAACAGAGAAATTTTGCAAGATTTCCTGGAATACTGAGTTGTCTCTCAATGTTTGGGTGAGACAAACTACCTCAAGATTAATAAATGATGAAGAAACATATATCTCCTTTTCTAAAGCAGCACAAAGAGTATATTTTCTGGTCATAAAGAAAACTAACCATGTAGTGCTCTAAAGTGACTGACCATAGTGTTTGGCAGTGGGTTTTTCACACGGCTTCATACAAGACCACATTTCCTTGTGAATATAACACCTTTATTAGCCACTGAAGAGTATGTCTAAAGATACAAATGAATGCTGTTCTCATGCAGTAAAAGATAAAGGTTATACTAGTCCAGTCTCAAACAAGTGTACTACGTTTTGCAAAGCATTGTACTATAGTGATATTAAAATGCTAGATTAATTAAAGGTGTGACAAATATCAACACCTCTCAACATGACCATCTCTATTTGTTATATCCACACCTTTATCTCCCTGGGGAGTTGCTCCCATACATTTTAAAATCATTCCTAGTTCCAACAGATGCTAGAGCATCAAATCTTAATGCTAAAATCTATATGGAACATGCAATCTGCACTTTCGTACTGAGACCTTGAATGTCTTAGCTTGTGTCTTTTGAGGCTCCAGGTACCTTGGTGATGGGCACCAAATAAATGCTACTAATAATGAATGGAGTTACTGATCATAGGAAGTAGCAGACAGTCCCCTGTGATTTTGTGAGGGCAGCAATGTGCTGCACAATGCATAGGTCCTGATAGGCTGGGTTGGGAGTAGTACAAGTTTTAAATTATGAGATCTAAAATGTATTCATTGAAACCTGAAAAAACATGACCACACTTTTTTCAGGTGCAATGCTAAACATCTGAAAACAAAAGTTTAGAAAATATTTGCAAGTAACTAAAAAGGGAGCAGTTTGCTGATTTATTATTCAGTTTGTAGCGTGTTTATTTTTGGGGTATGTCAAGTAAAGTCCCTTTGAAATTCTCCAATTTGAAATATCCCACTCAGTTCCATAGCTGGCATTGTGTGTTAGAGGAAAATATAACTGTTCACAGATTGCAGCCCAAGGAAGTCTTGAAACTTACAAACAGCTTTTCATGCAGCATGCATGATCTCCAAAAAACCCACCAACCCCCCCCAAACTGTGATTATTCTCAGTTTTTGTAATCTGGTTCCCTGTTCCTTATTCCTCTACCTGCTCCTCCCTCCATGTCAATTGTATCTGATACCAAATGCTGGATACAACAGACTAACTAGCTCAGCATAGTGACTAACAGAGGGATAGTAGGGTGCAAGGTTAAAATGCGAACAGAAGAGGGGCCAAATTCTCAGCAGGTGTAAATGGTGTAGCTCCATTGACTTCAGTTGAGACACTAATTTAAACATTTTAGAATCTGGCCCAAGAAGTTTTGTCTCTTAATGACTCTCCCACATAACCAGAAAAAAATTTAAGGGCTATTCCCAAGAAACCCATAGGAGTTGTGTAGGGAATTCCTTTACAGCAAATTTACATTGGGACAGATTCACCACCTTATCAGTGGGACCACTCAGGGTGCCACGTATTACACTTACACTGGGTATCAGAATCAGGCCAACTGTCCGAAAAGGAAATCCTTGAGGAAGTGGGTTGCACTAGCAGAAGCAGACACTCAGGATTATCATGTAATTGCTCTTTTGTGGACATTAGCATATGTCCATTCTCTAATAAGAAACAAGCTTGGGTGCAGTTCTGAGCCTCCCAGCTGCACAAAGCCTGTCTCCATTCACACAGATCTCTGTCTGTTCTGGCAAAACAGCAGCTTTGGGTGGGTTAAAGCATCGGATTTGAGCCATGGTTATTGCTGCTGGTCTGGCAATTTCACACTGACATTCCCTGTAGGGTGAAAATTTAGTTGCCTCTGATAAAAAGCATCATTGGTAACATGCACATTATTTCCTCACATGCAAATCTACTTTAAAATAACGCTGTGGGTTAAACACATCAAATCATAGCCCTCAGAGTAAAAATGCCTTTAACTCACCCTGTATTGATTTGTAATTAAAATTTTATTCGACTTTTAAAATAGTCAACACAATAACATATTTCAATTGATCCAATCCATTTTTTTTTGGATCATCCTTTTGAAGAAATTTTCGAAACTTTGACTTTTTGTCCAGATTTTGGAAGGGAAAATGTTTGAAATCTTAAACTCTCATGCAACATAACAATTGTTTGCCACCCAGTTCCAGCCAGAATGCTCAGCACTTTGCAGAACTGAGTCCGTAATGCAAAAATGGTCTGTTCCTCAAAGAATTGCAATCTAATTTCACACATGATGCAATAAAAGACACAGCAAAACAGGAGACTGCAAAACAACAGAGGAAAGAAAAGTGTTTACTCAGCGAACGCATGTGCGCAGCATTGTTGAACAAAATTTACATTGTCTCTCTTTTGTTAGTTTCTGTCTACCTACCTATGTAATATCTAGGCTTTTCGAGAGGCATATAATATACATTTATATATTATAATTTATACATATATTATATGTACATAGAAAAATGTTTAACTCGTGATACGTAGTAAGTTAAGTTCTGCTGAATTTGCTATACATATTTTGCTTTTGTTTTCATGTATTGTTGAATGGTAACTGTATAGATTTACCAGTGAATTTGAATTGAATAGCTTGTTAAAGCTATGTCCATTTAATACCAATTAGTGGAATCATCTCCCTTTTGTAATCTACATGATTTTTCATTTCATTGGAGAGCTTTGTTTTAGTCAGGTTAACAGTTTGTGGAGCAGAGTACTAAGCAATAATTTCCATATTTCTAGGAGTGAAATGAAAACACAGTAGCCTCTTGGAGAAGTCTGCATTTACCATGGGTAAATCAAATATTTGGGGGAACAGGGACTTGCAGAAATCTGCATCGATCAGGTAATTTAGTCTCAGCACATCCTTCAATAAAGCACCTAGTACTTTCAGAGAGATAATAAGCTTGCAAGTCAGCATGAAATTCCACATGCAGTCATGCCCTGTAAGTGCCCTAGAGTATATTAAATAATACTCCAATGTACCATTTTCCAGGTGTTTTATAATAATACTGGTTGGGTCATGTACTCGTAATAAGTGTTAACATTCCTCAGGGAAGATTCAAAGTTTGAAGTGACTTTTGCTACCATAAAATGAGGGATAATCAATGTAAAAAGGACAGACCACCATGAAAATGGCAGTAAAATATGACACTCACGTATTCTATAAGCGGCAGTTGCTTGACTTTTGTATATGCACAGAATTAGTAAAAGCACTACTGGATTGTGTGTGTATGTACCATATGAGTGTATAAAATTTTGCATAATATTCCTATTTGCTACTTAACCAGAGTATGACTGTGCTTGGGTATTGCAATCGACTAGAACTGGGACTAGCTGCTAATGACACTTGAAAGCTCTGGTTAGCTCAAGATATGGCTCCCCCCTTTCTGAGTGTGGAAGGCTGGGGGAGAACATTTGAGCTGGGCAAATAACTTTGATTTTTCAGTTTGCTAGTTTGGGTTTGGAGAGTCGTTCAAACCATTTTTTTTTTTTAATTTTCAGCAAATCTAAAAACTTACCAAAAATTTGTTTTGGATCAAATGAAACATTTTGTTTCTGGGATTTTGTAACCCTTAAGAAAAAAATAAAAACAAAGGAAATAAATGGTTCGGTTTGTGGTGGCACTGCTGTCACCCCTTATATTCACTAGCCCGGGGGCTAGGACACTCATTTGGGATGTGGGAGAGGTAGGTTTGAATCCTTGCTCAGGAGCATCTCTCTTCCCTCTGAGGTGAATGCCCTCACCAGTGGGCTATACAGTATTCCGAGGTCGGTTGCTCTCAGTCTCTCCTGCTGAAGCTTTTCCATTTTGTATAAAATATTTGAACAGTCACGGCACCAGAGTGAGAATGACTCTCTAGGCAGGTTGTTAGAGCATTCACCTGGGATATAAGAGACCCAAATTCAAGTCCTTGCTCCAATGATTATTTGTACAGAGGGTTTTACAGAACCCAAACTTCAATGGAGAGCCCAGTGTGTGTCACCTGCAGCATGCTCCTGAGCCATCCCAGCCTTACTCAGGTCCCAGAAATCTTTCTTTCTTTCTTTCTTTCTTTCTTTCTTTCTTTCTTTCTTTCTTTCTTTCTTTCAGTTGGTTGGAAAGCAGCATTTTTTTCCCCCACAGAAAAATTTGACTTTTGGGCAAAATGTTTTGTCCAAAAAGTGGTGTTTCAATTCAAACTGATGCTGCCATGCCTCATGGGAATTGTAGTTCAGGTACCTTATGCTGCCATTGATCTCTAAGGGCCTAGCTCGCTTGTCAAACTATACCTTCCAGGATGCACCACTTTCTCCCCTATTGGTGAAGGGGGGAGGTACATTATATGAGACCCTGGCTGAATCATGGGAGTTTTAGTCTGGCCAGAAATGCTGAAGCTTGGGGGAGGATGGAAGCAAAAGGCATCTGCATTACAATTCCCACCATTTTGAATAAAAATATTTCAGTTTTCAAGATTTTGATGAATTACTGAAGTTTTCCCTGGAAAAAAAATTTTCATTTTACTCAAACCCCCAAACAGTGTTGACAGAATATTTTTGACCAGCCCTATTTTTTAATCTTCTTGTAGGGAAGGAGGATCTGTGGTCTGACTTCCACTATGGCATCTTCTTAAGTCTAGCCCTCCGTCATCTCTTTCCCGTCTTCCAGCTTCAGATGGGTTACTGCTAGATAAAGCCCATTCTCTCTGTCATGCAAATCCAAAAGGGTTGGGAAGCAGAAAAAAGACAAAGCTGTCATTTATGAGATCATAAGGCAGTGAGGAAAGTAAAACACTTATTTTCTCACTGTAGCACGTACCACCTCACAATATTTCTACCCATGTCTGGATGTAGAAAATCAAGTAATCTCCCAGATTGTTCTCATGAGCTTTTCAGCTCAGTATTATGTCAAAAAGTGTGTGCCTGTAAGGGGTGTGTGCATAACCAGACCCCAACTATAACATATGGCTGAAGTGTAATCTCCAGTGTTTGTGGAGACACATGGGATGTGGGGCAGTGCTTGCATGATAGTCTGCAGACTCTGCTTGACCCATGCAGAAGTACTATCTGTGCGTGGTTTCTTCCAGACAGCACTCCAGGAATAGTCTTCCTTTTCACTGAGAGAAAAGTAGGGGTAGGTGGATGTGTTTGAGGGAGTGAGTGGGAGTTTGGTCACATTTGTTTAGATGGAAAGGTGGGACAGACACACAAAAACAAAAGCAATGGTACCTCTGAAGCGTTAAAAAAAAGATTGATTGCTGACCGTCTCATGAGTTTGCTTCTGCCTTTAAATAATTTGAAAGAGCAGCAGAAAAACAGAAATGTCTTTTTTTAAACAGCTGTTGAATGGAGCTCTAGGCCAGCTTTGTATAAAATGCATTGTACTTAGGTTTGCAGAATATTCCTTCATTTACTAAACCTCGTCCTTTAGGAGATGGGGGGTAATAGGCGCCTATATAGGAAAAAGTCCCAAAAAATGGGGGTTACCTTTCTGCTATGGTTTACCTTTTGGTGCCCTGGAAATGTACTTATTTTGTGTCTTTGGCAGTTATTTTTGAAATGTTGGAAAGGATGGCCGAGAGGCCTAAGATTCAGGGTTGGATTCACGTCTGATCTCAGGATGCACAGTTTGAAATCTCATACTTCCAAGGTAGATGTTAAGTTCCATGCAGTCCCACTATGCAGTGGTCTTTTGGATCAGTCATTAGAAACCAAGGTTATTTCTGCTTTGTGTGTTTAATAAAGGCCACTTTTTCTGAGCAAGGCCTGTTTGTGCAAGTGTAAATTTGCATCTTCACTTTTTAAGCACTCACGCTTATACATTCAAGAACACAGAAATCAGAGCTTGAAAACCATGTACACAGGTCTCTGGTCATGCTGAGGCCCCTTTGATAATTTTTCCCAAAAGGTCCATGGCACTTTCTGTAAAATGAGGGGTTTGTCCCAGTGTCCTTGGCAAAAGCCACTAGTACACCAGCTACTGTGCACCAGTGGTCCATTTGACTGCTCTACCCCCATCCATAGTAGCTAAGGACTCCCAGGTCTCACAGCCAGTGCCAGGTTTCTGCCTGTTCCCATGTTTCTTCTAGCAGTGCCTGAGCTCTATTGGATATAGATCCCTAGCAGGTCAGGTCACTCCATTTTATACAAAAATTTTACTCGTGGTCCCTTGAATTGTCTTTGGTGCAGGGACTATGTCTTATTCTGTTTTGCAAAGAACCTCATGCATACACTTGTCATGCTATATATATATATGATTATTTCTAACAGCAGGTGATATTGTACTGATAATCTGGGCTTCAGAATATATTGGATTACGGAAGATCCCACTGACACAAATCCTGTTGCAATCTAAATCAGGGGAATGGAGCCAATTTCAGTCTACAATATGCACAATCTAACCAGTTAACACTGATTCCAACTCTCAATATCTTGCTTTCCTTTCTTGTAGGAAATTGCTTAATGGTTAGTCAGAAAAACACCCCTCTGAATTCATTCTCCAGGTAACATGAAATGAAACTGAGATGGGGAAGACACTCTTATGGATACACTATCCACCCTGCATGACGGGATTTAGATGGAGTCACAGATCTCCCATGAATAGGAATCATGCCATTAAATCCCTATGGATCATAAATGAACATTTATCCCTAAGTGTAGACATCTAGAGAAACTCGGACAGCACAAGTGCAGCAGGATATCATTTCACAAGCTAAAAAATCCCAAGACTTGGAAATAATTGTTTGTGCCAGAAAGAAAAGGAGTACTTGTGGCACCTTAGAGACTAACCAACTTATTTGAGCATAAGCTTTCGTGAGCTACAGCTCACTTCGGATGAAGTGAGCTGTAGCTCACGAAAGCTTATGCTCAAATAAATTGGTTAGTCTCTAAGGTGCCACAAGTACTCCTTTTCTTTTTGCGAATACAGACTAACACAGCTGTTACTCTGAAACCTGTTTGTGCCAGGAGTTTCTCAAACCAGCTGTTGCACTTCCTTCCTAGCTTTTGACTGTTTCTCTTAATTCTCTTTTTCTGGGGAACTGAGTTTGGTTTTAAGTCATCTTTTATAGTGCAGCTCTTCCTTTTGAGGCAGCAGAGGCATTTTTATAACTTTAGATTGCAAGCCTTTGGAGGATTTAACCAATTCATTAGGCTATATGATGGCAGCTGTCCAACTGTGGACCCAGTCCTACTCCCACTGAAATCAACAAATGGTTTGTGATTGATTTTAGTGGAAGCAAGATTTGGAATTAAAACAAATTTCAAAATCATGAAATTTCCCATGAAATGGAAATTTTGGTCCCTACACAGTTGTACATGTTTTGAAAACCTGTTGTATTTTGCGAATACAGACTAACATGGCTGCTACTCTGAAACCTGTTGTAACACAAAGTGCCAGGAGGAGATGTGAGATTGGCACAAGGGAAACTTCCTAGAGAATTGCCTGAGATTTATTTAGCCATTGATTTCATTTATAATTATAAGAGGGGGCACTTTTATAGGTTCCAATGGCAGTTAGGTACCCAATTCTCAGAGAAAGTCAAGGAGAGTTAGACATCTTTGTGCCTTTGCAAACATCCCCCTAAGTGCCCATCCTGTGGTCTGCATTTGTGTTCAAATTCTAAACAACAATAATCAATGTTATTGTAAGATCTGGGTTTAAATTGCAACAAGGGAGGTTTAGGTTGGACATTTTGAAAAACTTCCTAACTGTCATGGTGGTTAAGTACTGGAAATAAGTTGCCTAGGGAGGTTGTGGAATCTCCATCATTGGGGATTTTTAAGAGCAGCTTGGACAAACACCTGTCAGGGATGGTGTAGACAAAACATAGTCCTGCCATGAGTGCAGGGGACTGGACTAGATGACCTCTCGAGGTCCCTTCCAGTCCTACAACTCTATGCTTCTATGAATTTCTGCCATATTACTAAATGTGCAGTGTGTTGGGGAGAGTAACTGTCCTCCTTGATGGAACTGGCTTGGGGCAGGGGGAAGGGATGTCATGAAGCAGACTAGAACATTATGAGTGCAGCAGATATATCACTAGAGCTGTTCTATGAGAAACTCTGACATAAAAAACATCATTCTGAACAGGAACAAAAATTCAAAATTTTGAAAATTTCCTATGAAACTAATTTTTTTGGGGTCAATCAAAACATTTTGTTTTTATGTCAATATTTTATATTAGTTTTTAAATGCTATTTTTATATTTTTAAAATGTTATTTAAATTATATATTTTATCATTTTATAAATAGGCAGTTGGCATTGTAATTGGTAATTGGGTTTGAAAGTGGAATTCTAGTTGGCTTGGTGTCTGGTAATTGGTATGCTAATTGATTTGGTACTTGTTTTGCTCAATTTGTATTCTCACTGATCACTTGTGCCTAACTGCCATCACTTTGTAACTGCTATTCTAATTGGTACTATTCTATCTATGCTATGCAATATTTTGGAAAGACACGAAGGACCAGATCCTCAGTTGGTGTAAATTTACAGAGATTTATTAAAGACAGTGCAGGTTTGCCCACCCTAAATGTTCACAAATCATGAGCCAGGTCCCTAAAAAGCACGAGATTACCTACCAACCAACCAACCAAACATACAAAACCATAGTTGGTTTCTTTCTATTTCCCTTCTTGTTTCTGACCCTTCAGGTCACATTTTCAGGCTTTTCTCTGCAACCACGAGGACTAGAAACTTACTTTAAACAAAATGAACCCAGAGATACCCCTCTAATTGTATGAATCTAGGAGCTGTGATGTTTCAAAAAGCATCTTACCTTGCAGACTTGTGACAAAATTGCACTAGTTGGCAATGCAGAAATGCTGCTACACCAGTGCACATCAGCTGAAGATCTAGTGATTAGAAAGATGATAAATGTTTGCAACATTACATTCTTGTTAATGATGTCATTATGAAGATAATGTCATCATCATTGATAATAATGGAGGGGTCAGTGAGAGATGAACCCCTCACGAGTATCCTCTGGTTTAGCAACTTGAAGTATTGGGCCCACTATTTTTTTAGAGCATCGTGGAATGCTTTACTATGAGGGAGGAGTATTATTCCCATTTAACAGATAGGTAAACTGTGACACAGAGTTCAAATGATTTGTCCAAGGCTACACACTGAGTCAATGGCAGAAACTGGAGCAGAGCCCTGGTTTATTTACTCTTACTCCCTGCTCTGCTAAACAACACTGCATCACTTCACATACTGCTGTCGTTTAGTGGGCACATTTTTTTTTAATACAATGCAGCTCAGCAATACACCAAATTGCATCATATTAGTACACCAACTTTCCAATAACAGGTGGGAAACCTATTGGTGCATATTTTTTCCTTACCACTCCTTTCTCTGCAAGGCAAATACCTCATCTGCTGAGCTCTAGAAATGTAATCATTAAAAGCTGGATTTTTGTGCTTTTTAATATCAAGCGTTTCATGATATATTCTGTAGTATTCAATCCTTACCTGCTGCTATATTCTGTAGTATTCAATCCATCCTCACACTGATTCACATATCACTTCCACAAGATCTATGCACTGTCTTTAAACATTTATTTAGAAGCCAAAGAGGAAGAGGTGGAGCTCTGTGGTGAAGCAGAGAAACAATGTGTCAGGTTTCAGAGTGGCAGCCGTGCTAGTCTGTATCCGCAAAAAGAAAAGGAGTACTTGTGGCACTTTAGAGACTAACAAATTTATTTGAGCATGAGCTTTCTTGAGCTACAGCTCACTTCATCGGATGCATGCAGTAGAAAATACAGTGGGGAGATTTTATATACACAAAGAACATGAAACAATGGGTGTTACCATACACACTGTAACAAGAGTGATCAGGTAAGGTGAGCTATTACCAGCAGGAGAGCGGGGGGGAAAAAAACCTTTTGTAGTGAGAATCAAGGTGGGCCATTTCCAGCAGTTGACAAGAACGTCTGAGGAACAGTGTGTGTGTGTGGGGGGGAATAAACATGGGGAAATATTTTTACTTTGTGTAATGACACATCCACTCCCAGTCTTTATTCAAGCCTAAATTAATTGTGTCCAGTTTTCAAATTAATTCCATTCAGCAGTCTCTCGTTGGAGTCTGTTTTTGAAGTTTTTTTGTTGAAGAATTGCCACTTTTATGTCTGTAATTGAGTGACCAAAGAGATTGAAGTGTTGGGTCGTCCTTCAGGATAGGTTGTAGATCCTTGATGATGCGTTGGAGAGGTTTTAGTTGGGGGCTGAAGGTGATGGCTAGTGGCTTTCCGTTATTTTCTTTGTTGGGCCTGTCCTGTAGTAGGTAACTTCTGGGTACTCTTCTGGCTCTGTCAATCTGTTTCTTCACTTGAGCAGGAGGGTATTATAGTTGTAAGAACGCTCGATAGATATCTTGTAGGTGTTTGTCTCTGTCTGAGGGGTTGGAGCAAATGAGGTTGTATAGTAGAGCTTGGCTGTAGACAATGGATTGTTTGGTGTGGTCTGGATGAAAGCTGGAGGCATGTAGGTAAGCATAGCGGCCAGTAGGTTTCTGGTATAGGTTAGTCTCTAAGGTGCAACAAGTACTTCTTTTCTTTTTGCGGATACAGACTAACACGGCCGCTACTCTGAAACAATTATGTTAGTTATCCTCTACATTGTACACCAGGTTCAGTTAATCCTGTGCACATTTGGAGTACCTCCACTAAAATCACTGTACTTATTTTGGCATTACACCAGATTAACTGAAATCAGAAGATAATCCTCTGTCTGAAAAGCTTTAAAGCTTTCTGAAAACAATTATTCCACACTTTTAAGTTGCAACCATTACAAGAAATTGTCTTACACCATTCTCCCTGAATTGTTTTAACTCACACCATATCTTCATTCCACTAGCAAATCAGTGTATCTTTTCATTTTGAAACATCAGAATAAGTGCTCTGTTAGCAACTGCTAAGAAGCCACCCAAAAAATATTTTCCTTGATACTCAGTATTCTCTTAGTCTGGAATTCAGAACAGACATAAATTTTCATGTCTGAAGCATGCTTGTATACGCAGAGTCTAAGCAACCACAGAAAATGTAATAATCAGCACTTGTTTTCACTAGATGATTATATAGAATTAGGATACAACCTTGAGGACTCATGTTAACTGACACAGTTTACTATGGCAGTGCAGTCTCTCTGCACAGAGACAAGCTGTGTTTAACGCCATGTCATCTGGGTAAACCTAACTGGAACAAGGATTTGCGTATGACCCACTGGCATGAAGTGGAACACAACTTGTTTCAGTCTACATAGACTAAAAAAAGTCATGGTAATTGTTTTGCTAGTTATTGCAACTCCTTAAGGTTATGATCTAACTTGACATAATTTTCTAATGAAAACAAGCCTTCAGCTGAGCTCATGACATAGGGCCTGATCAAAATCCCATTGAAGTTAATGGGAGTTTTTCCAATGACTTCTAAGGGGCTGGATCAGGATGGGGCAGATTCTGCTATTCTCACCTTGAGTAGTATTCTACTCCACAAAAATCAATGGAGCTATTTGAGGACTCACATACTACTCAAAGTGAGTAAAGATGGGAGAATCTGGCCCAATGTAAAAGCAACAGCATCTGGCCCTAAGTAATTTGATTTCAGTGAAACTCCTCATGGATTTAGGTACTATTCAATGTAAGGATTGCAGAAAACAGCCCTACCTAATTTTTTTTGCTTCATGACAGATATTCTGTTATGTATCTTGAGCTAAAGCTATTTCATTATTAGTATAAATCATTTATATCGATTTTCAGACCTAAAGCAAAGCCTGTAGGGTATATGGTGCAATTTAACAGTAGGACAATTCTTTGAGAGTGGCATGGGCAGGTAAATATGTAAAATCAGCCAGAACTATATTGTGCATTTACATTTTACAAATTACGAAGAGCCACCACTGTGGAAATATGAACTATGTTATTGCATGTAGCGTTGTTCTAGTCGTGTTGGTCGCCCAACTTGTCTGAATTGTGATTTAAGGGTCATTACTCTAGACAGGTCATTGCAAATGCATACAGGAAACTGAAACAGCCTACTACTATAATATCCATAACCAACACAGTCCATTTGCTCAAAACAAGAAAGAAGTTCTTTAATTTTAAGTAAAATGAAACATTATTACATATCTGATCATTTTAAATGTACTAAGGATTGGGACAAACAATTTCATGCAATACCCCAAGTAGTACAGAACACTTTATATAAGAAAAGAAATAAAGACACCCACTAAAAAGCTGTCAGTGTCAAATAATCACTTGTTCTGCTGTTGTCAACTTTCTACTATTTAAATGACAGGGTAATAGCTATCAATAGGAAAAACAAATCCATTCCACCAAATTCTTGGGAAACCTCGTAGAATTTTGTCACATAAAAATTTTTGTGTATAGCTGTGTGCTTTGGGCTTAGTGTTTCTCTTTCACGTACAGACAATCCCATAAAGGAGATGATGATTTGGGTTACTAGGAAAACTGTGTGCCTTCTGTTGATACATGCACACATCAATGGGATTTAAACTGTGTCTCTGTAGTTTGGGTGGATTTCAGGCTTGATGTCATATACAATGTTCAAAAGTTGTTTCATTATGTTTTCCATATACTTGTGGAAGCTACTGGTGATGTCTCGGATTTTTTCTGTTGTTTGCTCTTCTATTTTAGTGGAGAGGTTACCTTGGGATCCCATTATCTACAAAGGCAAAACAAGAGAAACCCTATGAGCAAAATAAAGGCTTACATCACAGCCGTGTTTACTGTAGCCAGGGCAGCCTCTAAGAATGTCTTTCTATCCCTGAACATAAACATTATGCAAACCTTTCACAGTGCTCTGTAAAAGTAAGGTTTAAAGTACATTAAACCATAAACATAATAAACAGGATTAATGGGAACGCTTTGGATACTTGTTAGCGTTTTAAATGTCCCCATGTAGTGCAGGTTTCCAATGTCACTGTTGCGTACAATGTTTATGAAGAGTTTTTTCTCTTTAACATTTTTGAATATTTTCATTTTATTGATTAATCCACTACATTCTATCACTGATAGGTTTGTTTGAGCTCATAAAATTAATGCAAACCATGGCTTTTGAAGTGTGGAAGATGGGAATGCTTCCTAATAAATAAATAAATAAAAATGAAGCCTTTGTGTTTCCAAAGCACTGAAACATCTTCCATGGTTACTGATGTATAACCCTCAATAGGCCTCATTTGAGGCCTTTTAATATTACATTTTCTTATCTGGCCAAATACCAGACAGCTTCTGGCACAATAAATATCAGGACATTCGCTTTGGATGTAATTGTATCTTCCCTTCTTTCTAGACTAGCGGAACATTTTAGCAAGGTTATGTTGTAAACAGATGCACACATTCCAAATCTGTGCCTTATCCCTCCACTGCCCCAACTTCCTGTGAGTGTGCTTCCCTTATAGAAAAGTCCTAAAGAGTTTAATCGAACATAATCTTCCTTGCTGTAGGATGGCTCACAAAACCTGGGAAAAGAAATGAATAGAGATTGATAGCCTCTTAGATCGCTATAGAATCCAGTTGTAGTCATCAATATTCAATTCTATAGGGCTTTTCCATAAGAGTTGCAGTTTTTCTCTGGTCTGTTGCTGCAGATAATTCTAAAAATAGTGCAATATACAGTAGCTACCCATAGCGAAAGAGAACATCCTGTGAGTGTGATAAAGGAGCAATACATAGTATGAATTTTAGGTTTTGTGGTTCCAAGGCACACCCTTACTACTGTTTCAGTCTTGTGGTTCTCTTGAGCAGAGGCTACTTGTTGAGGCAAATTGTGTTGTGGTCCAATGGTCACAAGATACAAGGGAGCATATAGGTGAGCAGCAATTCTCCAAAAAGGGCCATATTTTTGGAGTTTAATGTTGGCACACCCTCATCATGTATCATTGGAAAATTTATTTTGTGTGTGTTTAGATGAGGTCTGATGTAGAGCTATCAAGGGGTACTGTAAGCCTTAAGGCAAAGTGAAACAATGGTACCCAAAATGATTGTCGTTTTTTTGCACAGTTCCACAAATACTGTTTACATTAATTTCAACACCTCAATGTGGTGTTTATTGGTCCAAGCTACCAAATGACAATGTATTAAAAAATATATATTAGTTTTGCATGGCCAAGTTTGTTTTTCTTTTCAGAAATGATGACGCTGTTTAGCATGTGATAAAAAGGGCAAATATCAACATATTGCAACATACTTACATGAAATGTTTTTGCATTGCATATTCTGAATTGTCAGGGTCTCACACGTGATTATAGTTTCCTATATTTTCAATTGAAATTTGCTGACCAGATCAAACTCTTGCTGAAGGTTGGGCACCAGTAGTAGCAGATTATGTGCCAATGGTTTATACTGCATAGTGGGTAGATTTAAATGCATGTGAATTCCTAATGTAATGTGCCTCCATTTATAAGCTTTTGTACATACAATGTAGCAAATAGTTTGCCTGGTAGGAGGTTTTAATTTGTAATTGCCTATGCATGTAGTACAAGCCACTGAAATAGTCTAGAATCTAGCTTTTAAATTTAATTTTGCACAGATCAGTATTCCTGTTAGAGATGACAATACACAGCTTCATGCTGGGCTTCAATCAAGTGCTCACTAAATGGAAATGGCAATTTTGATAGTACCATAGGTCTAAACTGTATCTAATTTAGCACAAATTTGTATACGTCTACAAAATGAAAAATGGTGGTGGTGGTTGTGATAATGCTCACAATATACCGTGGGAATTTTACCTTCACAGGGAAATATATGAAGTTGTGGAGGATACAAGTCCCGTAAAGCTTACGTTAAAGAGAAAAAGATTCCCCACAAGCATTGAAAAATGAGTTGTTTGTCAAAAAAATCAAAAGAACGCAAAACTGTCAGAAGCCACCAGAGCTGCACAGAATTCTGTGGTGCTGGCAGCCGAAGCCAGGAGAGATGAATTGTATTGGTGGCGACTGGATGAGTTATCTAGTTTAGGTGATGTGCCACCAATATTCTATCACCGGGGCTGCTTTTGGAAAAACACAAGCAAGTCAAATTTGGCACATGTCAGGAATGTATTGAACCCAGGAAAGAAAACAGACTCTGAATCTGAGCAGACAGCATCATGTTCACATGCTTTCATAGTCACCAGAGCAAGCACATCCTCCAGTGTTTGATCCTGGTGCATTGTTTACTTGAGAGAAACACACAATAAAAATAAGAAATGTTGTAAATTAGAAACATTTTAGAGAGCAACCAATGTAAGGGAGACAGCACTTGAAAGAGGAGATGATGACATGTTGCACAGACTATGTGTGGAAGACTTGATTGCTAAGGATGCACTGTATCACTCAACATGCCTTTCTTCCTATTTATGTAAAATAAATCTTAAAGCAAAACCATCTAGTTACACTTATGATACTGCATTTTATCAGCTGATTGAAGAGATAGACAATGATCTTTATGTGAAACAAGAAGGCTCTTCTCCTGTCCAAGCTGCTAAAAAGCTATAAAGCTCTACTTCTCTCAGATGTAGAAGCTGCAAGCTATTCCAGTCCCAAATTACAGGCAAGATCAGAAACAACAATGAGGTTTTGCAAATTCATTCCATGCACAGCATGGACAAGGCAAGTCTACCATCATTCTCTTCAGTGCAATGACATTAGCTGATGGTATCTAAGCTGCTAGTCATCTGAAGCAGGAACTTAAATCATCCAAATGTTTTATAGATGTTCTTCTGATGAGTGAGCCTGATGACCAGCTTTCAAATGAACAAGTGGTTTTGCATAATGCTACTTCAGTCCTTCAGTCTGAAATAGCCAAAATGAAAGCCTCCGCATATTATCCAATGCCAGGTGATTGCAGTTTACAGAGCTTAGCTGCTTTTGTACCCTAATTAGTGCAGGAGTTTGTCCTTTGGTTGCTAGATAAAGAGGCATATAACTCAGACAGCAATGAGTGTCATACCTCAGAAGACAGTCAGAGGAGTTGCTTCTCAGTCGTGCAGTGCATAGTATTTAACAGGTCCAAAATTATCACACCATTACACATAAGCTTTGCTATGCAGCTACACCTGAGTTTGGGTCAAGCAGATTTAATTGACATACAACATCATCAGGGATTCTGCATCAATTATGATGAGCTAAGGTGATTCATGACTAATGCGGCAACAGCCGAAGTAGAAAGACTCCAGTGAGGTGTGCTCATTCCAAACGGAATTGAACCACTTCATGCTGGTAGAAATCTCATTCATGATGGAGATGATAGTATAGACATCAACACAGAGACCACTGATGGAAAGAATACCTTCCATTCCGTGGCTAGAGTGCTATTTCAAGAACAAACTGCAGATAGTCCAGCATCATGAGAAATTCACTGAACCATGGGAAAGAAAAGTCACTTAGTCTCCCCGAGTAATTAGAGTCTCTGATGCAGTATGCAGCATTTGAAAAACTAGAACACGTCCAGAACTGACTTGCCATGCAAAAGTACTTGAGAAAATAAACTTTGGTATCTTACCAATGAACTCTGTCCAAGATTTCTCCTGGTGTCTTTAAGACTATTACCTCGTGATGTCCTGCCAATACCAAATGATATTGATAGCTTGCAACAAAGAAAAGCACCTACACAGTAGTTGCATATGCACCTATTGTGGATACAAGACAGCTGCCAAGGCCAGAGTCTGTCCTACAGTGCTGAAATGTCAGCCGCTGTAGGACAGCAGCATGTCCTTGACACCAAGAATCAGCAGCTGTATGCTGTTGCTCGGCAAGTGAAATGGACTGTCTCAAATGAACTTGGTACCAATATGAACAGCAAAATGATTAGGGGTCTGGAACACATGAGTTATGAGGAGAGGCTGAGGGAACTGGGATTGTTTAGTCTGCGGAAGAGAAGAATGAGGGGGGATTTGATAGCTGCTTTCAACTACCTGAGAGAGAGTTCCAGAGAGGATGGTTCTAGACTATTCTCAGTGGTGGAAGAGGACAGGACAAGGAGTAATGGTCTCAAGTTGCAGTGGGGGAGGTTTAGGTTGGATATTAGGAAAAACTTTTTCACTAGGAGGGTGGTGAAACACTGGAATGCGTTGCCTAGGGAGGTGGTGGAATCTCCTTCCTTAGAAGTTTTTAAGGTCAGGCTTGACAAAGCCCTGGCTGGGATGATTTAATTGGGGATGGGTCCTGCTTTTGAGCAGGGGGTTGGACTAGATGACCTCCTGAGGTCCCTTCCAACCCTGATATTCTATGATTCTATGATTTGTACCTTGTGCTGTTTTATAGCATGTATTGGGAAATTCTGGGGAGATGCAGGATTGCTAGAGCTTCTTGTTGATTCTGATGTGTATGCAGCTTGTACTGCAAATCAAATGCTGCAGGTAAGCAATTCAGCTGTGTTCTACGTGGCTTGTGATTTTTTTGCATTTGAGGCCCTGAGTGCTCTTAACAAATTTATTATTACATTTTGTTTTACCCTTTAGATTGCTATTGTGATGATATGAGGTCACAAAAAAATCCGATTTCATGTCTTGAAATAGTACAGAGAGTCATTAAACTACCAGAAACTAATGCAAATATTTCAAAGTAGTCATTTTAACGTGTTGATAGTGTCATTGTTTGTTCTCATTTCTGTGGTAACAGCACCATTTGACAGGTCCACAATATACTTCATCTTAAAGTAGACATAATAAGCTTTCAAAAGATGCATGTTATGTGTGTGTAGAGAGGATACATGAAGGCGACCAAATCAGTGGTCTCTTGCTGCTCACCTAATATCACCAAATTCATTTTCCTTGTGACTTTAGCCCAATTTTTGCCTTCAAAGATGACAAAGTGAATGAATAAAGATTATCCTCTAGAAGGATTTCCATTGAAATGATATTCATTTTCTAAGTAGCATCGAGTAAACAATTGGTCTATAATATAGAATTAAAACTTTTGCTAGTTTGAGAGAAATAAAAGGAAACAAACAAAATTTTAAATGCTGGGAAGGGATTATCATTATCTGTAATAATTATTTTTCTGAGGATAATAATTAGCATTATATGTATCTTAACTTTGGGCCAAACCCTGAGGGCCTTTACTTGGGAAAGATCTGACTCCTTCCACATAGCGAGCCATCTCCATAGAGAGAACTTTATGCAGATTCAGGGTAGCTAGATGTTGTCTCCAAATCAACCCTATGGAAAATGCTCAAGAGTGTTACTACGCACTTGGGTGGAGCCTCCTCCACACCAGGGACCCTTCCCCCTTAATTCACACCATAGGAAAAACATACAGTGTTGTAAGTTAATTAACGATTGAATTTCTGCCTGGATTTTTTCATGTTCTTGTTTTCTACTACTGATTTCAAACCCTTCATATTATTGAACTTCATTTGATGTTGTATTTAAGTTATGATCTGTTTTGACTTTGAGGATTTTACCGCAGTGTCAGACCAATGACTTCCATAGTGTTGCTCCTAATCTTACATCTGGTATGAATGAGATCAGCATCAGGCCTTGTATCTCCATAGGTAGGTGCCATACCTTAAGGATGTTGTGTAACCCGTTCATTGTAGTTTAAATTAACCAGGTAAATTATGCACTTATTTACACTCCATTTCTTAGGCTTAATTCATTCATGTTTATCGAGCTCTTGGAGATCCTCATGTGGAAGGGCCATAGTGTTATTTCACTATGAGAGAGACTCTCAACATTCAGAAATGGATTTTGTACACCCCAAAGTTAGAATCCTGGGGAGAGAGTTGATTTAGTCTGTTATAAAGATAGAGCTGTTTGGCAAATTTTGTATCCAGATCTGTGCTCAAATTTTGCACGCTGCTAAAGTGGATATTAGCAATTATCACTCTTATTCAACACCAATTGTTGTTTATTGTTATTGTGTATTATGGTCTGATACGTTGTGGCTGGGGTGTGAGTCCGCACAGAATTTAGTCCAACATGTCTCTAATGAGCCACAGTCAAGATGCTAAGTACAATGGGGAACTTTAAATGTGGCTGTAATAACTGTGGAATTATAAATGTTTTCATAGGAACACATGAGCCAGCACATGAACTAGTTAGGGACCACTGCTCTGGCACTGCCCTCCGTACTGCCCTCCAGGCTTGGGTTAATAATGTTGTCATTCTTCTGGGACAGACAAATGTCCGACATAAAGGGGTCAGGGAAAGTGAAGGAGGGTTGTAATGATCGTTTACAACATGCTGGCATTGGAAGAGCTGTATGTGCTCTTGTAGTCTTGTGTAAACTGCTTCAATCCACAATCTACAATATTAGCTCAGTGTGGTAATTGTGGGTGTAATGAGAAGATTGTGCTCAAAATAATGCACAGAGAAATTTCTTTCTCCTTTGCTCAAAGTAAGGCACAGAGAAATTTCTGTCTCCTTTGCTGTTTCAGACATCAGACGACAATTTCTCTCTTTCTGGCTTGAATGTAAAGGTGAACACATCTGAAAGATATTTTACCTTTTTTTCAGTTGTCAGTAAAAATCTGAAATAGCATGTGCAGGACAAGTCTGCCTGCTTTACTGTGAGATTATCTCTTGGAGCTGACACTCTGGCTGAAGTGACAAGCTGATAAATTTGACTTCCTCTTCTCCTCCCCACCCCATTCAGCTGTTGTAGCTTTACACGGAATCAGACAAAAAGGAAGTCCAGTAAAGCAAAGAGAATAGTTTGTGATACCCCTTCATGAAAACAGCAAAGAAAATTGAAAAATGATGGAATATCTAAAATTTACTAAATTTCAGAAATTCAGGTGAAAAAATGCCAGCCAGATTACTGTTTTACTCTGAAAAATGTAATGGAAAAAGAAATCAGTTTTGAACAGATGTTGCTGTGTGCATAGTTGGAAGCTAAGATTAAATGATCAGAACTAGATAAATAATAGATTTTGCATTTCACGGACAGTTTAAAAAAATTGTTTGGCTTGGACCAAAAATGAATATTTTTCCACTTGTTGGTGAATCAAAAAGTTGAAAGAAAGATCATTTTGGATTTTTATGTATATAAACAAATTAAGGAAATTTTGCAATGAAAAGTCATTTCAAACCAAAAATTTTCCAAAACAAAAAGTTCACATTTGATCAGAATTCTGTTTTTTGTTTTGGTTTTTTTGCAACCAAATTTTGATGACATAAACACAAACTTGTAAAACGTTGTGGTGTTGTTGAATCTGCATTTTTCACTGAAAAAACGTTTTGCCTGTAAAATTTTGTCCGACACTATAAATGAATAAACGCAATAGCTTTTCATAGGGCCTGACCCAAAGCCTTCTGAAGTCAGTGGAAAGATAACTGTTGACATCGATAAGCTTTGAGTCACTGCAGCTGAACTATTTGTATATTAGTTAGCAACCAGAATTCTACCTTACTCCAGCTTCTGCTCTGATGTTAACAGAAAATCTGCCTGGCATTAAAAAAGAGAAACTGAAGGTACTTTTCAAAAAATATGTGCATTATATATATTTCCCAAGAGACGGGCCTGAATGATCCCCAGCATCTGAACAGTCCTGAATTTTAGTAAGGTTTGGATCCAAAGCCCCAGATCCAAAAGTCCCTGAAGTTTGTGAAAAGAGCCGAACTTTGAAGTCCAGCACCATTGCTAATATTTTCAGTGAATAAGTAAATTCATTATGAATTGTTGGACAGCTGATAGTGTACCGTATATAAAGGATCTACAGTAAGGACTTAATACAATGCTTATTGAATCATGTCCTCCCCTTCTCTATTGACTTCCATGGACATTGTGAAATATGTATGTAAGCTTCTTACTTACATTAGATTGTTTGTGCCTGAATTCCCTCTCCCTCTGTAACCTGTAGTGGTCTATCTCTGCTATGGCTTCTTCTTTGGCTTGCTTCAGTCTCTTTCCCTTTCCTGGACAGAGAGAGGAAACATAGGGTTACTTTGAAATTAGCATTGTGCCTGAAGAGATGGTTGTCTCCACACAGTACTTATTCTACACAGCATAGTATTCCATGTGCTGAATCCCCAGTAAAGTACTTGAGAGTTTTGATTGCTTGCAGTTTACGAGTAAGATTTTCAGGAGTGCCTAAATGATTTAGGGAACACAGGTTCCACTGAAAGCCAATAGAACTTGTGGTCCTAAGTCACGAAAGCGCCCAACCTATGGTATCAGGCCCTTCTTGTCTACAAGTACACAACAATCATAAAAAATGGGTAGGGTTGTCAACAATAGAGCATATGGCATTTTCAACTGATTTTCTTTATCACAACATAAATGACCATTTCTTATCACTGCTTCATGTTCAAATAAAATGCTTATCTTTGCTTAATTGGCAACAGTAGCAATCAGAGAACAGGTTTGAGTTGTCACTGATTGGAAGAGACATTATTCTATAAGATTTGCTGTATTGATTCGCTGCCAGGAACCCTTCAGTCCACACCAACTGGATTCTATTTAATGCTGGCAAATTTCCAAGGCACTTTGAAGATACAGCTCAGCCACTAACAAGCTAAGTTGCAACATTTACATTTTATTGCCCGCCCCCCTTTCATCCTAACACTTGTAAAATGCACAGGTGGGTGATTAAGACACAGAGGACATCAAAGCAGCTTTTGTTTTCTAATGTGTGGAAACATGAAAGTGATGGCAAAATCAATATTAATTTATTTATTTATTACAGAAAAATCTTTGTTATCCGGCATGTTAGGAATGGGGGTGGGGTGGGGAAGGGGCAGGAGTGTGCGGTTAGCTAAGAGTTATACTTACCAATGGAATACCAATTTTCAAAGAATTAGAATACAATAAAATGAATCAAGAATAAAATAGTATACAAGGACTCATCATTCCAGTACTGCACTTCAGAGTGGTTGGTTTCTTGAAGCACTTACGTTTATACAGGTAAAGTTTTCTATACAGTAGGTTATCTTATGAAACTATATATCACTATGGGAAGCGCATGGCATACACCCAGATCACTAAAAATACACTTAACATTAAAACTATACTGAATATAATTTAATCTTTGATGATTCAGAAGACACTTCAGGATGTTGCAGTGCCTCAGGGTCATCATTATCAACATCAATTATCATTTGTAGATGTAGAAGGTGTAGGAGATTGGGCTGAATCTGTAATGACCCTATGACACACCCTGGAAGCTGCTGTTTTGAATAAATCCCTGACGTCAGCTTGCTTACTTGTCTTCTGCCTCTTTTGCATGAAAGTAGAGTGAAGAATGTACAATTGCATAACCTCCTGGGCAGTATACTAGTCCCAGTTACTAGATGGGAGATATCAGAAATGCCAGTTAATAGCGCTTTCTGGTTGATAAAGTGTCGGATAACCCAGCTTTTACTGTATTATGCTAAGTGACCCTTAGGCTGTAATAAAGACTAAGGCCCTGATTCTGAAATGACTTATGTACATGCTTAACTTTACACACTGTGAACAGTCACACTGATGTCAATGAGTACTAACAGTGTGTAAAATCAGTGCAGTGTTGGATATGATCTATGTAACTCCTGGATCTGACAGGATGCTCTGTGTAGGAGGAGAGAGAAAGAATTAATAGAAACATGTTGCTTATGGAATTGGAACATGAAACAAGTGACGAATTTGTGATAACTGTTGGAATTTGATATCTATATGTGTATTTGTTTCATAGGATTTTGTCAAAATCCCCCTAATCCCTACAGGATCCTACAAATTCTCCACAAACTGCTGTCTGGGAAACCAGCACTTTTCAGCTGAGGGAACCATAGTTGCTGGAACTAGGGGTGCTGGTGGTGCTGCCGTACCCCCTGGCTTGAAGTGGTTTCTATTTATACAAGGTTTACAGTTTGGTTCAATGGTTCTCAGTACCCCTACTATAAAAATTGTTCCAGCACTCCTGGAGGGAGCTATAAATGCTAGATTTAAAACTGATCCACAAGGGGGAAAAAGAAACGGGTTTGTCACTTTTGTGTTTTTTTGTTTTTATATTAGGTCTTGTCATGCCTGGAAGACTCTATGATGACATATAAATGAATGAAATGATGATATCACACGCAGAGCATGATGACATTTTTCAGATGAAACTTTTTTTTTTTTTGGCCAAAAATTGTAGATTCTGGTCAACCAAAACATTTTGTGAATTTGCATAAAATTTGCTGGATTGTTTTGGTAAAAAAGAAATCCTAAAAATTTAAACATTTCATGCTGATGTTTTCAAAACAAAAGTTTAGATTTTTATTTGAAATTTTACTTCAGCTTTATTTAAAATAGGTAAAAGCCACTCAAATTAAGTATTTTGTTTCAGGCTGAGCAAAAATGATATTTTTTTACTTTTTCAGTTTGCCAGAAATATTTGTTTTGGGTTGACTTGAACCAATTTATTTTCAATTTTTGTTTCAGTCAGTGATCCCAAAAATCATTTGTTCACACACACCCAAGAACCATGAGAGTGAACGTTGGGCATTTAAGAAAGCAAGTCTTAGTCTATTTAAAAGAGCTTCTTTTTTGGTTAACACCTATTCACAACTTTACACTTATTAATGCTTTGGAGAAAAAGGCTCATCACATGCACCCCCCTTTATTTAAAGTGTGAGAGTTAAAAAAAAATCCTTTTCTGAAACCCCCAGATAAGTTCTTCAGCAAAAGCGGAGAGCTAAGAGTTGATGTTCCTTATATTTCTAAGATAAAACCAGCCAATCCTACAACCCCTCCCACACTATCCTTAAATATGCCAGGCCTTTATACATTATTAAGCATTTTGATCAGCTTTAATCTGCTCTTACAGTGAAACTTGCCAAGAGATGTCACATTTTGAATCTATCCTACTAAAATTCCCCTGCATGTAGTCCTCAAATGCCATTTCTCAGAGTCTGCTAGACACTGAAGGCCTGATTCTGATGTCAGTTGCACCAGTGTAAATCAGGAGTAACTCTACTGATATCAGTGTTGTAAAACTGAAAAGGAGTACTTGTGGCACCTTAGAGACTAACCAATTTATTTGAGCATAAGCTTTCGTGAGCTACAGCTCACTTCATCGGATGCATACTGTAGCTCACGAAAGCTTATGCTCAAATAAATTGGTTAGTCTCTAAGGTGCCACAAGTCCTCCTTTTCTTTTTGCAAATACAGACTAACACGGCTGTTACTCTGAAACCTGTTGTAAAACTGGTGTAAGTAAGAACACTTTCAGGCCCTAACTATCCACTTTTGGTACATGATTTAGTTCAGACAGCAGCATCAGATTGAGGCAATTGTTCATTTCTTCTGTAGTACATCATGCTACTGTGGATTGGTTTCAGTTGTTTTGTACATATGAAGCCATATCAGATGTAACATACAGTAATATAACTCTCCTAGGCATAGCTCAAAAATGAATCTGAAGTTTGCCAGAAAAAGTGCTTTTAATGGGTCTGTAACTCAAGAAAATTCTAAGTAAAAATGACTGATTCAGGGGTAAATTATCTGCTCAGTGAGCAGGCCAGTCCCAAGTCACTACCAGCATTTCAGTGAATAGATTTAGAAGCAGTAAATTCCTAAAAGCCTCGTATTGATTTATGGGCTACTTGACTCACTGAATGTGCTTATTGTGGGATTCAAGGAGGGATCAGGAATGATTATATAAAGCCTTTATACAGAAGGAGTAATACACAGTGTAGAACCTGGTGGATTTACGGAACATCAGCCCATCTTGTGGAATGTTTTTATGTTTACTTAATTAGATTTGTCAGAGTCCACATGTCACTGGAGATCACTAAGAGTTTGTAGAGAAGGGCAGAGGATGGACATTTTTTTACCCATTTAAGATTAAAGTATATTCTTTTTCTTCTATTTCTTGAATCAGACTTTGCTACATCAGGTTCTGTTACTGCTCCAAATATCCAGAAGCAGTAAGCATAGATTGAATGACTCATGTAAATACTTGAGATTGGCCTAAGCAACAGAATTTGGAGCTGGGGTTGGGTCTTTATTTTGAAATACAACCCCTCTAAATTTGAAGGTCTTCAGATCTGGGTTTCCAGTTGAAGCTTTATAGTGCTACCCCTTAATAATTAAATGAGGGTGTCAGATTCTCAGCACATGTAAACCCATGGAGCTCCAATTGACTTTGATGGGAGCTGTGCTGATGTACATCATCCACAATCTGGGTTTGGTTCTCGAGAACTAACTAAGCTACCCTTAAGTCTGGGGGAGTTTCAAATTTGGGATTCCAGCTGGGGCCCATCTCTAGTACATTTGTTACCCATTTAATCACGAACAATCCCTCCTGACCCCATATTAAATAAACTAAGACACATTACAAAATTGGATTTCTCTGGTTTTGGTAATTAATCTGATGAAGAAAAAAAAACAGAAATTTTTTTACTGTGTTCTAGTAAGTAAGATATACCATATCTGCTGCCACACACTGGTTGTCACTTAACAGTGGCAGCCATTTAGTTTCTCCATGATACCATTGGTCATGGCACACCAGTGACTTTGTTTTGGAAGAGCTACGGGTGAATTGCTGCTAGTGGACATTGCTGCCTACGTATGTAATAGGGCATAGACTGCTGCACCTGATTACATTAAGTATTAATATATCTAAACCTGCTGTTTTACTAGAGGCACGCCAAAATTAATGAATCAGTTTGTCTAACACTAACCTCTTGTCTGCTACCCTATCTGCACAAGTCTTGCTTTTCAAAGTTAGGCCTGTTGTTCAGGGATACAGATGACTTTATGGGTCAGATTCTCTGCCTGTGTAAATCAGTATTGCTCTGCTCAAGTCAGGGGATCTGGTACTACATGTTTGGTGATGGCACAAAACTGAAATTCAGCCAAGGCTATTGAGAAGCGTCTGCTAGAAATATCTGAAGGCAGGAAGGCCATTCTGATGACAAAGAGAGATTGCTATATTCATTTTGGGAGGGGCAAAAATAATCAATAAATAAATTTGAGATGGTGTGTGTGTGTGTAAATGTATAATTATGCTGACTTCGAGTTTTGACCAAAAACCCTGGCCACCAACTTCAGCAACAATAATCAGATCTTCCACCAAGAGAATTTCATTGAAAAGGCACATTTATTGGGGAAGGGGAGCACAGGCAGCAGAACAGCACTGGCTCTGCCTGCTCCCCATCCCCTCTCCCCACCTGTATGGGAAAGGACATAGCAGTTCTGCTGAAGGTGCTTCGCCTTCTGTGATGCTCCGAACCCCTGCAAGGTGGTGCTAGGAGAGTGGGGGGAGGGCTCTCTTACCCCTCTACACTGCCATCATGCTGGCCAGGCTGCAGTTTCACCTTTTGTGATTCGGTAGCCCTTTATTAGTTGTCATCTCCTCTATTCAGCTGGAAAGTATTGTTAAATAGCGCCAGGAATAAAAATGACAGGTTTCAGAGTAACAGCCGTGTTAGTCTGTATTCGCAAAAAGAAAAGGAGTGCTTGTGGCACCTTAGAGACTAACCAATTTATTTGAGCATAAGCTTTCGTGAGCTACAGCTCACTTCATCGGATGAGAGCTTATGCTCAAATAAATTGGTTAGACTCTAAGGTGCCAGGAATAAAAATGTACTCTTGGAGCAGTAGTTTTTTAATAGTAATATACTAGACTTGATTAGTAAAGTATTGGTGAGATTTTTAGGACTGCTGCAGGTTTGTGAAGTCATGCATAAAAACTAAATCATGGTAAATCGGTCATTTCTGCAAATGCCACATTTTACTTTAGTCAAAAAAAAATGTATGTATCACTTTCCATTAAACTAAAGCTGCCTTGCTCAAATATGCTTTGGAATTTCAAATACATAATTGAGGATTCTCTGGTAAGTGTCTACATATGGATGACATGATGGTAATTTGCCAAGCACTAAAATGGCATTCTTAAAAAAAATTAGAACATTTTAGTTTCAAGACCACATTAAATTGTCTAAAGAACAGGAGTACTTGTGGCACCTTAGAGACTAACCAATTTATTTGAGCATAAGCTTTCGTGAGCTACAGCTCACTTCATCGGATGAAGCTGTAGCTCACAAAAGCTTATGCTCAAATAAATTGGTTAGTCTCTAAGGTGCCACAAGTACTCCTTTTCTTTTTGCGAATACAGACAATACAGGTATTTGGAATACTCATTTTGAGGAGGATATGCCGCACTTTATACAAATTTAATATATGTTAGTGGATCGGTATATGCAGTTTTTATATTACATTATATACCAGATATTAACCAAGAAAAGGCCAGATACATCATTTGTTTTAAAAACTATTTCTATTAGTGTTTCTTTTCTCTCTTGTTTTGTCCAAAAGGAGCCTTGCTGGACTGACATCCCTGCTCTGACAATGCATGTTTATTTTTGAGAGCTGGGTAATTATTAATGAAAATAGGGGAGGCAAGGTGGCAGAATTTTAAAGGGAGATTTGGGTTCAAAGGTTGTTTCTGCAATGTATGAAATGAGTTGGTAGTCTCATTCTAGGCTCCAGAGGACATTTGCTTATCCCCTTTGCAAAATCCACTGGAGAAGTTGCACAACAGCTGTTTTTCAATGTAGGTCATATTTACAGTTAACATAAAAAGGGTTGCATTAGAACAGGTAGGACAAGTTCACTGTTTTGCTTAGCAACTGAGATTTGCTGATTGCCAACCTGTGAGCAGGATCTTCTGATGTTAACTGGTACAAATTGGCTCAAAGTTGGTGTTTTCTGAATTGAAACAGAATATGCTTGACTTGCTTTACAAATTACTATGTGCACAGGTTACCTGTTAAGTGATAATTATAACAGATACATTAGTATTTTTAAATGACTGTTTCAGAAATATTTTTTTTTGTTTACATTCTATTTTATTTATTTCCAATCATGAGTCAAATTCTGCTGTCATTTACATAGGTCTAAATCCAGAGTGATTCTTTTGAAGTTGTTGAAATTATTCTGGATTTAAACTAGTATATCTGGTCTGTGTTAAATTACTGCTGTGAAACACGGACATTCAGACAGTGAATAAAAAAACTATAATGCTTTAAATTATGGTTCATAGAAGAATTCTGAAAATACCATCGATAGACCACTGTTATACCAGCAAAAGCCCTAGTGTAGACGCAGCTATATTGGCATAAAAATCCAATTGCTGGTGTACCTTATTTTGTTTGAGGACCTGCTCTAAACTGTGTTGCCAAAAGCATATTTTTGCTGGTAAAAACTGTCTATACTAGGAAGTTTTTGTGGTATTGCTACACTCATAGAGCAACCTTTTCTACTGTAGACTATACCTACACTACTATAGCTATTCCTGTAAGGCAAGGAGAATACAATATGCCTGTTTTAAGCACCAGTCCCACTATAATTATCACAGTAAAAAAAGCATCCCCCTAACCAGAATGACCATACCGGTACACAAACTTTCTGTAAACTAGATCTTAGAAATCCCAAATGGGAATCTTGCTAAGGCCTGACCTTACTTGCACTTAAGTCATTTAGAGTTTTGTCATTTACACTAATAGGCACAGATTGCAATATTTAGCATACAGACAAAAATCTGTCCCAGTTCTTTAGATTGTGAGTGAATCTGGTACTTCAAATTTGTCCTTTTTAGAGAAAGGTCTTACCTTTTGCCCTGTTTCTGATACTAAATAATAAAATAGTTCATGACAGGAACAGGTTCTAGTTGTTTCCTCATCACCAATAATTCTTAAAGAGGAGACAAACATAATTTGCTTAAAAATAATATAGATGAAGCAGGTACTTGATCAATAAATATGTTTTGTAACTTTGACAAAACAATAGCTGGGTTTCTGTATTTCCGGACTCTAACTCTCATCCCCGTGCCTCAGCACTGCCAGAAGCACTTAGCATTCTGATGTCAGTTTCTGGCTCCAAGGGGTTTGGAAGGTGTTTTAAGCTAAAAAGGCTCTGCGAGTATCCCATGTGGTGTGGCAGTGGTTGAGGTGATGACAGTAGGAATGTATGTTCATGCACAGCAGAGTAAGTGCACCTGGCATCTCAGGTCCTGATTAAGTATGGGCACAGTTTAAGTACATGTATATAATTATGCTTATCAATTATCCAGATTTCTGATTTGGAAATATTCCTTTTGGCTGACTAATTTTTTTTTTAAAGTTCCTCCAAATCAAAAGTAAGCAGCCACAAGCTTTAAGTTATCATAACTAAGGGCCTAACTTTGTATCCCTAACTCTTGCAAAACTCACTTTGACTTCATTTAGGGCTAGATAGTGGCGTTGTCAGGTACAGTACCCTGTCTGCTTCCCATTTGCTCTGGGGGATAGTAATTTGCATCTGAGCTAAACCAGCAGCAAATGGCAATACCTTCCAGGGCAGCTCAGTTGCACTGGCCAGGAAAAAGAACCCAACATTTAAAAATAAATACAGTGGTTTTTATCTAATGAGTATTCAGTGGGAAAATACAATAAACGCAGGCCAGATACTTACTCTTTTTGGCTTCTTCTAGTTTGTCTTTTGCACGTTTTTCTGCCTGTAAAAGTTGCTGGATTCCCTGAGACTGGCTGGTCATGCTGATTTTTGGGTCTGGTGTGCCTTTGTAATAACTGGGAGTGAAGGGGGAATTATATACCATCGTCTATCTCTTCATTGTGTGTTTTGTTGTGGCAACATTCAGTACAAGACCCATCCAATTTGCACCAGTCCAGCCTACTTTGGGCGGATTACTGTTGTGAAAGAACAACAAAGGGTACAATCTGGAAAACGACGCTGACTGGTTTTAGAGATTCTCTCCTTCTCTAGGTCACACAGTACCTACAATGACTTGATTAAAGCACTTTGAAAATAAGGGAATGACACTCCAAACTTATAGTTTTAGGATGCTTATTTTAAAATAAACCCTCTGCTGAAGGAGAATTTAGTTGTTAAAACTCTTGTTGGTGGGATCAGGAACAAAAAAAGATTTTGATTTACTGAAGTTTTCTTTTAATAGCAGTTTCCATGGGTACTATGTCAGAATAATAGGGCCAACAAAGACCTGGGCCAGTAAATAGAACTGTGCTCGTGCCTCTCTTTGTGTTTGCGTTCCCTGGAAATTTGAGTTTTACTGTCAGAAAATGAATTTCAAAGTTCCAGGCACAAGAATTGCAGACATTAAAGTTTAAGCAAGCATGTGTAACCCACTGTTCAGTGTATGCCTTGCTGCATCCCCGGTTGTGTCTGATCCATAGAAACTGAGTCTGCTACAGTTACCACTGCGGCGATTCAGCCCTGTAGCTCGAGCTAGAGGTTTATGCTCATAACTTTGGGGGTCCTGGGTTTGACTCCATTTAACAAGCAAAATGATAGTCACACCTGTGACTGCCAATACTGCATGCATGCTAATCTTCTTAGATCATGTGCCATTGTTTCTGTTCCCCGTTTCATCAGTCACAAGCAAGTAACACAGCTCAAATTTGGAATATTTACAGTCAAGCACTGTAAAGTATTTGAAAAGATATTTGAATAACCAATCCTTCCGTGCTCCCTCCATTCACCTGTGTAAGGGCTAGGGATCATTCGACATTGTGATTCAGTTGGTTTATTTAGCTGAATTAATGTCGCTGGTTATTTCTGCTGTTAGCTCTTGCTCCAAGGCCCTTTCTTCTCTGGAGCTCCCTAGGGCAGCTGCTCTGTACTGCTTGCATGCTGCAAGGCTGTTTTCTGGCCCTTATGAAAAACTGCCTATTGTTGCTATGAAGCTCTCTTTTCCAAGTGGCTGCATGCTTGAGGGAGAATGGAAAGAGAGAAACCTCTTGTCCTATTTCTCTCTTCCACTGGGCTCCAAATGGCAGGAGCCTGGGGAGAGTGAAAAGGAGGTTGTTTCCTTTTGTCACTGCAATAGTGTAGAGTGGCTCTGCACACTGAATCTTACCCGGGGAAGTACATACTACCCATATTACTTCTCCCTCTCCCAGATACCACATGAGATGACAGCCCATCTCAGCTGTTGAAATCACAAACCTGTTATAGCTGTTCAAGACAACACTCATCAGACTATTTGTAGAAGATATAGCTGCATATTTTTAAAGTTGACTGTATCTTGTTCAGATAAAAAAACAAAGCGATGATCAACTTGACAAAGCGCATACACATTTGAGGTTCATACAGTACACTGTTCCACTAGTCATGCCCCAAATGTTCTTACTGGACAGAAAAACAGAAGGTAAAAATGAGCAGTGTTAGTCTCTGTGGGTAAATGAAATTTGTTTTTAAAATTTGAAATGATTACTTTTTCAATTAAACAAGATGAGGGAGTGTTGTCAGGTTGCTCTCTTAAATCAAAGGTTAATCCTGGGCAATTTTTTTTGGGTGTACTTGTAAGAAATGTTACAGCGCTGCTACAAGGCTAAATTACCATATTGTGCCCTGGGCTCAAACAAAAATGTCAGTGATTCTCTCCCCCACCCTAGATTTTAAGTACATTTCTCAGGGTTTTCTCTTACTTTTCATTGAATTTAAAAGTGATCTAACTGCATTAGCTCTTAGTGATGACTGAAAATTTCACAATAAATAATGTATTTGATAAATTTCATTGTTCCCATTTGAAAATCCATCCACAAATAAATTACAAAATTCTGCCATGTTGTTCATAATTGTTTCCAGATGTCTTCATTTGATGTGCAAATTTCAAATAGTTCAAGAAATTCAAGTTTGGGCTGACCCATAATTACAATTTATAATTTAAACTGTAATGCATATAACTTACAATTAATACAGTGTGAATTTCTGAGCTTACAATTGTAATATATTCGCAATTCTTCTGCATAGACCCTCGGTCACATTTTGTAAAGCTCTGTGGGAAGACCAATAATGCCTGGCTTTACACTTCAGTTGAGGGTAAAGCCTACCAAACATGTGATCTCCAGAACTGCCTGCACTGAAAATTCCAAAGATTACCTGATGGTGATGACAAATTCAGACTATTTAGAGTGGGTGCTTCTGTGCACTCTATTTCACTGAAAATTCATTAAAATAAAGCATGTTTTAACAAGAACAACAAAAACTTAATGAGTAGATTCAATGAGAAACTTTTATGTGTAGCAGCCATGGTCACCCATTTCAACTCAGAGAGGGTTCCAGCCTCTGTCCTGTGAATGGAGCTGAGAAAGAGAAGCTGTTGTCAGGATTAAGAGGTTAATTTGTGGTCAGAGGGGGAGTTTACATTTAAAAAGAGACTCCTCTCTCCATGTAGCTGCCTGAATCCTTTTCATCCATCTCTCTTGGCCTCCAGGACTTACTGCAGGCGTGCTTGGCTCTTCCTAGTGACAACGAAGGTAGCTGGATCCAATTCTAACACTTCCCCACCCTCAGACAGCCATTATGAAGAGTTAATGTGGAGGAATAAAAGATCTTGCAGCGAATGCTCTGCTGCTCATCTTCAGGTTAACCAGCAGCAACAGACACTGACTTAGACATTTCCAGTGTAGACACAGGCTGTACTGCTGATGTGTTCAGCAGTATCTGTCTGCACCCAGGAGGTCAGGGTGTATGTTACACTACAGATGGCTAACGACTATTTTATTTTCAAAAACAATTGGCTTGGCCTATAACTCATACTGAGCTTTTCAAACCTGAAAACGACAACCTTTTAGTACAGCTGCCCTTTAAACTCACTGAGCAGTAAAGGCAGGGCTGTAGCATCCTTTTATAGTGCTCTGGGCAGCTGACCCACTAAATGCCACTGGGCTCAGCGCTCCTGTTCCAGTCCAGGGGCTCCTTGATTGCACCATTTAAGAGGGTGGGCTGCACATGGGGGGGGGGGGGGGGTATGGGAGACATGGTGAGAAAGAGACCCAGAGCGGCAGAGCAGACTGGTTCAGTCAGGAGGAACAGGAGATGAGAGATCCCAGAGGGAGAAAGTGGTTCCTGGGAGAGGGCTAAAGGCAAGAGAGTCGCAAGAGAGGTTTGTTGGCTGACATCTCCACGCCAGAGAGCCAGGACCGAAGGCAGCAGTGGCAGCGGCAGGAGATACGTTTTGGCAATAAACCAGCAAGGCAGAGCCCAGGGCCAGAGAGGGCTGATGGAAGGGTGAGCAGTGGAGCAGCTTATTTGCTGAGGTCTCCTTACCGAGAAGTGGGTCACAGAGGAATCATGAGAGGGCCCAGAACAGTGAGGGATGCTCCCCTGGCAAGGATGCTTTCAGCAGAGAGGCCGTGAGAGTTCCTGCTGGGACGAGCGGGGTTGTACCCCAGCAGGAAAGGCTGGGGTGGTTGTCCAGCAGTGAACACAGGACGACTGACAGAGCCCAGCTATGGTGAGTACAAAGCTAGGTTTTAAAGACTACACGTGCTGGGGGTGGGGGATAGGGACTGTGCTTTCAGGCTTTTGTCCTATGTTTTTGTTAACCAACTGTGATGGAGTGGAGGAGAAACTCATATAGAGCACATGCATCTTAAAAAAAAAATCACCTTTTTATACACTGTGAAAAAGCTTATTTTTTAAAAAAACCCAGCTACCATGACTACCAAGTGGCACACTTTGTTCAGGCTCTGCTTCAAAGCACCAGCCTTGATACAATGATGAAGCGCTAAAATCAGCGGCATGTCAAAGAGGACAGCTGGGATGAATTTGTGTGTGTGCGTGTGCACTTTTTGTTATGTTGTTTAAAAAGGTCTAAGCAAGGAAAAGTGCTGTGCACACCTGCATGCCTCGTTATACCACAACGAGGCCACCATGAATATTGTTCTAACAAAAAAAAAGCTACTTCAAATGGGTTAAGATCTATCATATTGAGTAAGGATGCTGCAAATTTCTGCCGCTTCTATCAGCAGTTAATGTCAGGGGGACCTTGTGCATAATTTTAAAACAGGCATTGGCAACCATGATGCTTTTAGCAAAAGCATGAATTTAATTTTCTCTCATAATAAAATGGGTTAACTAATGTTAATAGAGGAAAAGCCTGTGCTATGTCTGCAAGTTAGAGAGTATTAGTTAAAAAATCCTAAGGGTGAAATCCTGCCCCCACTGAAGTCAATGAGAGTTTTTCCATTGACATCAGTGGGGCCAGAATTTTACCCTTAGAGTTTACATGTTCAGAAATGAAGAGTTGAGAAGATAATACAATTTCTTAAATATACCCATGTAAAATTCTTACATATGCATGTGTAATATATTGCAAATTCCAAAAACACTTCTCTAACTGCCCACTAGTCACGTTTCCATAGTTTTTTACCTTCAAAAATTTTCAGGTGTAAATTGTACGTGCAACTAGATTTATGTCTAGAAACTGAGTAGTTTGATGGCTGACTGCATTATTTGCATGTGCATTATTTGCCGTTTGCCTGCACAAATCTGAGCTTTTATGCCTGCAAGAACTGGATCTGAAAAATTATGCTTGCAGGTTTAGCTGGGTTGCCGTCCTATTGAAAATGTGCATTTCAGATCATTTGTAGTGGACAGATTGCAGCAGGTTAGCCTTTTTATATATCTTCTGCATATCTAAAGAAAATTTTACATGACCTATTGATTTCATACAGTCCATGATATAATCGTATATACTGTAATTCTGGCTTTGTGTTATGTGAGCTTATACTGGCAAATAAAGACAATAGGGAGATTTTCAAAGACCTAAAGGATAGTTTGCTACCCAAC